TTCTTTCACTTTGGAAGAAAAATGGGGTATTTTCTTTAGGTATGCATTATCCTAGCGAAAGCTTCAGGATTCTATTCTGAAGCTGATATCAAATGCATTACTGCATCATAAGTCTGGCATTTAGGATATAAATCATATTCCAGTTAAGTGTAACAGTTAAGACAGACACGTAACTGACACTTCTTGTTTTCATGCATTTGGTGAACTTCCAAGCCAAAGGCATGTGTTTCTCATATTGCGTGTACATGAGCTTCGCCAAGGCTACCACTTATGGGTCTCACTATAGAAAGCTGTGCAGACTTTACACAAAACCATGTCACACACACCTTCTCCCTCACATCAAGTTCATAACATCTGAACCCATTTGAAAACTGAACAGAACTTTCATTAGAGAAGAACTTCCTAAGAACTGAACAAAGCTTTCCTTAGAGAACTAATTAAGAACAGAAGCTGACGGCCAATGCTCCAGGCCAACCTATGGCCAGGGGAGCTCTATCAGAGTGAGGAGTTCAGTCTTTCAGCCTGTCTCACTTCCACAGATGACAAGACTTGACATATACTAAAGCAACCTGAAGAACCTTACTGCAGGGAACCCCTCTGAGCTCAACCCTAGTATGAGTGGGGGTGGGGTTGCTCTTCTCCCATGACCCATGCTCTCCAGAGCATTGGAGAAAACGGACCTTTTCAGGGCGCTATTCTGGCCTCAAGAACCTTTTCCTTAGGAGTTATCCTAGCCAGGGGTCTACTATCAGCTTTCACCCTCACCTATGTTGTTTTAACAGCTCCCACTGAGGTATTTTGGACTATGTGCTCTAGTTAGTGGTAAACACTGTGTGAGTGTGTGTGTGTGGGGGTGGGGGAGATTTGTGTAAATAACTGAAGATCTGGAAAGAGAAATGTAGGAACAAATGGTGCTGAGTTTAGACTTTCATATCCTCACAGAGATTTGATGACTTTTCTCAAGTTATTTTATGCAGTCTTGGTGTTTTAGTGTTAATTGTTTTTAGCTGTACATTTTAATCCCTGTTGTAAGATGCCTTTAGTCTTCTTTTGAGAAAGATGTCAAAGAAATTAAATAAGCTATATAATTGTAAAGGGCACTATAATACTTCCTCTCCTAGGTATTACCCAGTTTCTCTCCAGATTGAATGCTTATGCACTCAAGTGTTCCAGAGTGGAGGGAAGCTTCTGCTGTGATTGTCCAGATCATCATTAGTTTTGCTCGGGTGTTACTTGGGGTCATACTTCCCATCCCTTCTTGGATACGGAAGTCTAACAAATGAGCATATTGGAAGACTGCCTTATAGGACTATAGCAATTACAGCAGTATGAATTATATGTTGAGAACAAGTCCTTTCACTTACTATTCATACTGCAACACCAGCCTAGGAAACCTAAACTCTGAATGCTCTCTCAGTACCTCCTCTGCTCCTTTCCTAATAGCCTGACAGCACCTGCCCCAGCCAGTACTGGCTCTTGCAGCAACCAAGTGACAGAGATCATATAGAACTGGGTTGTCAGAAGGACTAGGTTGTTGAAAGCAGTGAAGCACTGTGGCTAGTGTTGCATCGGGTCAGTATGATGGAAAGGCCAGATTCTAGTCTTCATGTGCCATGAAGCTCACTAGGTGAGGCCAATGGTGACTCTCAGGACCTGCTATTTTACAGGGCTGCTCTGGGGATAAAGCAGAGAGGAGGATCAACTTGCCAGTGTTTCCAAGAAGAATGATGTAGTCATAACAGGGACTTCAATGTCCCTGATATATGTTGGGAGACAATTTCTGCCAAACGTGGCCCCTCCAAGAGATTCCTGACATGTGTTGCTGACAATTTCTTTCAGCAGAAGGTAGAGGAAGGAACAGCTATTCTCAATTTATTACTAACAGGGCTGACCTAGTGGACAAAATAGCAGCCATGGGAACCCTGGGGAAAGTGACCATGCAATACTTGAATTCTCAATTATAAAGAAGGCAAAGGTTAACTGCAACCAGGACTGCAACACATACCCAGGACTTCAAGAAAGCCAACATTAATGAACTCAGAACGATGAGTGAGGTGCCATGGCAGTTCACTCTTAAGGGAAAAGGAGGGAAAAGGAGTCCAAGGGGATGGAAAATCTTGAAAAAGATTCTCCAACCACAACTACAACCAATTCCCACAAGAAAAATGTGTAGAAGAAAACAGAGGAAGCCCATGTGGCCCCACAAAAAGTTAAGTGACAACTCCCAGGCCACAAAGGAAGAATATAAACAAATAGCAATTGCAGAGACAGTATCAGGAAGGCTAAAGCAGAAAATGAAGCAAGAATGGCAAGGGATGCTAAGAACATCAAGAAAGAACATCAGGCACATCCAAAAGAAAAGACATGTGCAAATGAAGGGTGTCCAGTTACATAAAGTAGATGGCAGAGTGATAACAGACAACAAGAAAAAGGCAGAAGCACTCAATTCCTACTTCACCTCAGTCTTCTCCCACAAATAAATCTTCAGTGAAGAGGAACTATAAGTTGAAAGTGAGAAATGGCAGCCCAAGATTGGCAAACATATGGTCAAGGAATATCTAGATGGGATAAACACATTCAAATCTCCAGGGTCCAATAAGCTAGCAGTGGAACTCTCAGAACCACTGGGTATCATCTTTGAAAAATCTTGAAAAAGAGGAGGAGTGCCAGATGACTAGAGAAGAGCTAACATTGTCCTCATCTTTAAAAATAAATGGGAGGTGGGGGACCAAACCTGAGAACTACAGACCAGTTAGTCTGACATCAGTCCCTGGAAAAATTCTGGAGATAATTATTAAAAAATCAGTCTGCAATCACCTTGAAGAAAATGCAGTGATTGATAAAAGCCAAAGTGGATTTAGCAAAAACAAATTCTGTCATACTAATTTAATCTCTGTTTTTGACTGGGTAATCTCCCAAATGGCAGAGGGAACACTGTGGACATAAGCTACCTCAACCTTAGCAAAGCTTTTGAATTCGTGCCCCACAGCATTCCGGCAAGCAAATTAGCAAAAAGTGGACTAGATAGAAAAACTATTAGGTAGATCCAAAATTGGCTGCTAAATTGGACAAAAAGAGTGCTTATCAACGGCACCTTCTCAAACTGGTGGGAGGTAACTAGTGACATACTGCAGGGTTCAACCATAGGCCCAGTGCTCTTTAACATATTTATTAATAATCTAGTTGAAGAAGTACAAGAAAATATAATCAGATTTGCAGATGATACAAAACTGGGTGGAATAGCAAACACCCTAGAAAACAGAATGAAGATCCAGGGTGATTTAGACATGCTTGAACGCTGGGCTGAAAGCAACAGAATCAGAGTCAATAGGAACCTAGTCTCCACCTAACAAAAAGACACCAAATGCACTGATACAAGATGGACAATACATGGCTCAACAGAACAGAAAAAGAAAGAGTCCTTGGAGTTACTGACTTTCCCACATGAAAGACATTCCAAAGGAACTGCACAGTCATCTGAGTGAAATGGTGTAAACTGGTGACTTGCAACAGCAGGGGGTTGGAACCAATGGCCTTCTTGGTCCCTTCCAACCCTACTATTGTATGATTCTATGTGTTTTGTCTTGTGTTCCTTGGTGCAAAGGCAAGATATACATATAAGGACCCAACATATGACAGAATAGACCCACTATAAACTGTTCATCAAGCTGCAAATATTAGTTTATCCCAAGAGAATGCTCTGTATTGCCTGATCATGCTATCATGCTTACCAGAAGAGAAATCCTGTGGTCCATAGTCAAGAGCCAGTCCAAGAAAGGGATGCCTCCTGAGGAAGGAGCTATGCACGAAGACTGGGATGGTTGTCTTTAACATTCCTGTTACCTTGGGAAGCTGCTTATGGGTCACAGAATGGGTCTTGGAATGCAATTTGATTTCCACTTACCTAGAAGTAAGCCTCAATGGAAGTTACTTCTGAGTAGACATATATGGGATTGTAAATCTGGTGCTAACATTCATTTCATAACATTTCTATTCCAAGGAAAAGAATGCCAGGATAGACAACAAATGCAGAAAGAAGCAGAATATAGTATTACAGTGACACAGAGAAAAGCGAAGATCTTCAAGTGGAGAATCGAGAACAAAAAGTGGCAGACAGGGGTACATAAACTGCATTTTTAAACTTGTGGGTCAAAATAATAACAACTATGGGCTGCCCTTCCTTAGGTTTTCCTGTCGGAAGACTTAAAGAAAAACAACCGTCATTTCACAAAGGCAAATGAACTTCATTATACTCAGTACATAAAGTCTTACCAGTATTTTTGGCAGGCAATAAAACAAACCATTTTCCTTAAAGAAAGATATTGATGTAAATAACAGTTCGGTGGTTTACAAAGCACAAACAGAACAGCCCTTCAATATGATGGAAATAAGTGTACATGGAAAGCAAAATCAGTAGAACCAAAGACCAATGCTGTTCATAAAATCTACAAAAGTATTTCAATATGTGTATTCATTCAACTGAAGCAGCTATTCTTATGCTTTGGGGAAGTGTCGCAGAAAAGCCATAGGATGCTTTGGACCTTGGTGGGTAGAGGGGAAAGTTCTGACTGATGGTTTCCCTGGTGACTGGCAGAAAATTCTTCTGCCATTGCTGACTATTCATAGTGTTCTGTGAGTGGTAGGCACCAGGAGGAGGAAAGCAGGACACCCAAGAAACTGCAAGACCCTGACACCATATCCCATTTATTCCCAAGCAAGTCTCCTGAAACTTGCATAGTTACCTCTTTCTTATTAATAGGAGGGAAATAATGTTTTAATGCCCTCAGAATTGTTGTAAGCTGTCCAGAGTGCTTAGGCTATTGGGTGGTCTGAAAGTTAAATACTAAAAATAATAAGATCAGTATTCTCTTGTCTAATAAGTTAGTGTGGTTAGGTCTGGAGGAAGCTTCCAGATTTTTGCATTGTCTTCATATAGAGAAGATGAAAATGTGTCAAGAGCTGTTTGTTTGTCTCCATTTAGCACCTTGCTGTCAACATACCTGAATGAAGATGTACTCATCCTGGACAACAAGTGAGCTTGTATCAATGGAACGCAAAAAAGGTCCACTCTTAGTAGTCTCTGAACATTCTTGAATCCTACACGTTATATAATGGGCACCTGCAATTAGAACAGAAAGGTGTATAAGTAAACATTGCCCAAGAGATCTTCATGAATTGTGGAAACAAACATGTAATATAGAAATGCCACCTCATCATTTACCAGGGTCAGACTTAAGTTCAACATCTAATATTAAACCGGGAAGAGGCGGGACATGGGGAGGAGCCCTGCCGGCCACAAAGCGCCGGCAGCGGACGGGGCTGGCAGCCAAAGGGCAACGGCCTAAGGGCGGTCGCCGCCATTTGGGGGCCGAGCGGGGGGCTGGGCTGGCCAGGGGCTCTGGCCATGGCTTAGTTGGAGTTTTAGATTGTTTTTAATTGGTTTTTAAGTTGGTGCATTCTCATGCTTATTAGGATGTTGCCTGGGGAGCGTGGGGCTGCCACCATTGGGGTGGTGATGGGCAATGGGCGTTATGGCATTGGGGGTCTAATGGGTCTGCATAGAAGAAGGAGGGGCAGATGGTTAACACCTGTCCCTCTTTCTGGTTATTCCCACAGCCGACAGGTTCCAGGTAGACTTGTCAACTGCCCCTCAGGCCTGTCGGTGCTGTTGCTTAATGCCAGGTCAGTCCAAAATAAGGCATCACTCATCCATGATTTGATCATGGATGAGAGGGCCGACCTGGCTTGCATAACAGAGACTTGGGTGGGTGAGGGGGGGGGGATGTCTCCCTCTCACAATTGTGCCCGCCCGGGTACCTGGTCCAGCACCGACCACACCTGAAGGGGAGGGGAGGGGGGGTCGCTCTGGTCTATCGAACTTCTATTTCCCTTGTGGGGCTTCCTGTCCTCTCGAGACCGGGGCTGGAGTGCCTCCACTTGGTGTTGGGCAACCAAGACAGATTGGGGATTCTGTTGGTGTACCGTGCACCCTTCTGCCCAACAGACTCCCTACCAGAGCTGACGGAGATCATCTCGGACCTGGTGTTAAAGACTCCCAGGATGCTGGGGAACTTCACCTTCCATGCTGAGACGGTTCTAACCAGGGCGGCTCAGGACTTCATGGCCTCCTTGACGGCCATGGGACTGTCTCAACACGTCATTGGCCCGACCCATGAACGTGGACACACTCTGGACCTGGTTTTCTCAACGGGGCAGGAAGAGGGTGATCTGAGGGTGAGAAATTTAAGTTTGACACCCTTGTCATGGTCAGATCACTTCCTCATAAGGTTTGAGCTCGAGAGCGGCCTTTCCCTCCGCAAGGGTGTGGATCCTATTGTATTGGTCTGCCCCTGGAGCCGGATGGATCCTGATGGATTCCTGGAAGCTCTGGGGGATTTTCCGGTTGACAAGGCTGGTGATCCTGTCGATGCCCTGGTTGAACTGTGGAATGAGGAGATGACCAGGGCTATAGAATGATTGCTCCAAAGTGTCCTCTCCCACCTGGCAGAGGCCATTCATCTCCTTGGTACACGCCTGAATTACGGGCAATGAAGCAGGTTGGGAGATGTCTAGAGCATAGATGGAGGAGATCACGGGGTGATTCTGATCGAACACGAACACACTTGAGAGCCCATTATCGGGCCTATGCTGTGGCAGTGAGGATGGTGAAGAAGAAATTCTTCTCCGTTTCCATTGCCTCCTCACAATGCCGTCTGGCGGAGCTCTTTCGGGTGGTGCAGGGACTGTTACATCTGGGCCCAAAGAGAGATCTGGTGCCACCCTCGAAGGCCCGCTGTAACAACTTTGCCAAGCATTTTAGGGAGAAAATCACTCAGATTCACCACGAGCTTGACTCTGCTATTGAATCAGATTTCACTGGAGAGTTGCCATCGACGCCATCAAGTCCACAATTAATGCATGAATTTCAGTTGTTGCGGCCTGATGATGTGGACAAAGTGCTTGGACAAGTACATCCTACCACTTGCTTACTAGGCCCATGCCCATCTTGGCTACTTAAGAAAGCCAAGGACGGGATTGGGACCTGGATCCTGGAGGTGGTCAATGCCTCTTTAAGAGATGGCAGGGTACCTGCCCCTTTAAAGGAGGCAGTAGTCCGGCCAGTCCTAAAGAAGGCATCCCTGGATCCAGAGGTGGCCGCCAATTATAGACCGGTGGCCAACATCCCGTCCCTGGGCAAGGTGCTAGAGGGGGTGGTGGCAGGACAACTCCAAGCACTCTTGGATGAAACTGATTATCTGGACCCATTTCAGTCTGGCTTCAGACTCGGGTATGGCACTGAATCTGCCTTGGTCGCCCTGTATGATGACCTGTGCAGGGAGAGAGACAGGGGGAGTGCATCCCTGTTAGTTCTCCTGGACCTCTCAGTGGCTTTTGATACCATCGACCATGGTATCCTTCTGAATAGGCTGGCGGGATTGGGAGTTGGAGGCACCGCATGGCGGTGGTTCCGCTCCTACCTCAATGGCCGATTCCAGAAGGTGGTGCTGGGGGACTATGGCTCTGCGCCATGGCAGCTATGCCATGGAGTTCCGCAGGGGTCCATTTTGTCCCCTTTGCTGTTTAACATCTACATGAAACCACTGGGAGAGGTCATCAGGAGGTGTGGGCTGCGGAATCATCAGTACACTGATGATACCCAGCTCTACCTCTCATTTTCTACTAATCCAGGTGAGGCAGTGGCTGTGCTGAACCGGTGCCTGGTCGAGGTAATGGGCTGGATGAGGGCCATTAAACTGAAGCTCAATCCATACAAGAAGGAGGTCCTGTTGGTGGGCGGCTCGGACCTTGGGATGGGGGACTTGG